GGGCTTTCAAGTTGGCGCTCTGCTTGTTTGATAAACTTGCAAAGTGCTGGATCTGCTGTCTGTCCAGGCATAGCGAACCTTCTTTTTTTTTTTTTTTTTTTTTTTTTTTTTTTTTTTTTTTTCTTTTAAAAATTAAAATAACATCCTGTGGTGTGTTTGGTCCTGTTATGGGCTGATCTAGGAAAGGTGGTATTGATAACTGTCACCCTCCTAAAATAATAAACTCAAGATCTGGTTGTGTTTGCATGTTTATCCAGTTTGTATTGCTTCTTTACAGCAAATCAATGACTCTGCTCCTGAAGTCAGAGATGCAGCCTTTGAAGCGCTGGGCACAGCACAGAAAGTTGTTGGGGAGAAAGCCGTTAATCCTTTTCTTGCGGAGGTCGATAAACTGAAGCTTGACAGGGTATGACAGAGCTGCTGACTTTCTGCAATATATGGAGAACAATGTCTATTGTATGATGGTATATTTAACTTTTTTTTTTTCTGGTGGGTACACAGATCAAAGAGTGTGCAGATAAAGTAGAACTAGCCCATGGTAAAAAGGGGGGTGCTGCTTCTGGAGAGAAAAAAGAAACTAAACCACTTGCTTCCGCTGCCGGGAAGGGTGCTCCATCTCTGACTGCAGCTCCTGAGAAAGATGCAAAGGATTCTGCCAAACCAGGCATGGCTACTAAGAAGCCACCTGCAGCCAAGGTATGTTTTATTCTATGCTCTCTTCAGGGAATTCAAAGCCTGACATCTCCCTGCTACCCTGACACTTTTTATTTTTATTTTTTTTTATCCTCTCACTTAAAGACTGGAGGACTGGTCAAAAAAGCCAAACAACCTGCGTCTGGTGGAGGTGCTGCAAAGGGCAAGAAAGCGGCTGATGTCAAAGAAGTTTTTGAGCAGGAGCTCTCGGTAAGTGTATTTTGAAGTCCTTTTATTCAGCATTTTATGAGCGTGTAAGTGATCTTCCAGGTATTTATGTGGCGATTGGGGGGGGGGAAGCAAGCCCGGCAGGGGAGAAAGCAGAGACCACACGAAGGCAGGCGCCTGGGGCATAGAGTTCAACCAGCTCCCAGGGCCACCGGGGCTCACTGTCAGCTCCTCCATGTGTCGTCCTTGCCATCTTCCCAGCCAGCCAATCAGAAGCTGCCATCCTCCACTCGTCTCCTGATTGGGGGAGGGTCAAAAGGGAGTTGGAGGTTTTGGCCAATGTAGAGTGGGAGGCTGACAGGCTGCCCAACCATCGCTCGCCCACGCAATGCAGACATGTGATACGTGGCCAATGGAAGAGAGAAGGTGAGGAGCTCAGTGGACGGCTGCCCAAGGAGTTGCTCCTGCCTGGTGCTAGCGGTGGACGGGCTGGTGGGAGCCTGGGCACCAGGATGCATTTTCTGGGTGCTGTGGCGACCTGCCGCCCGGGATTTGTCGAGCCCTGGCTGTTAACTTGGCTAAGGAAGCGCTCATAACTCTATGAAGTTGCACTCTGAGTTGGCTGCAGGTCAAAAGTGAGTGGCAGCTGAATATAAAACTTCCTGTTCTGAAATTTTACAGTAAAGCCAACAGATTTAATGCAGTGGTATTGTGCTATGTCGCTTCTGTAAGTCCAAATGAATTTAGAAATGTTCGGTATTTAGAAGGCTTGGTGATGTTTGTCTAGTTCTGACACTTCTCATCCCTTTTTATAGCCTGAGGCCTCTGAAGAGAAAGCAGCAGCAGTTCTTCCTGCTTTATGCATGCAGCAGCTGGATAGCAGTAACTGGAAGGAAAGGCTGGCAAGCATGGAAGATTTCCAGAAGGTATTTATTTTTAGGTTTATGCTTTTAGAATGTTTGAACTGTTTGATCAAAGGGCTAAAACACTGATTTTTCTTTAGGCTGTGGAGTCTATGGAAAGAAATGACATACCATGCCAAGCTTTGGTCAAGATGTTGGCAAGGAAACCTGGATTTAAGGAAACAAACTTCCAGGTATGCCTCCTCTTCTGTTTGAACTAAAGAAATATTTGCTTTTATTTTCTCAATTAGCCCTAAGACTGAACAATATGTAACTCATTTGAAGTAAATGTTTGGGTTTAATTTTTATGCAAAAAATCCTCATGAAAAACCCTGGAAAACGTACAAATCCCTGACGATGGTTTACTTCTGTTAATCATCCAGTTCACCATGAGTTGTACACCTGGAGTTTTTGCCACCTTCAGATGATTGAACACTGGAAAAAGCTTTGCTGATCCTGTTCCCTTTGCCCTTGTATATTCCTCCCACTCTTAGACTCCAGTGTTTTTGTTTGTGTTCTTAGGTGATGTATATCTTTTCCTTTGGAAAAGTCATAAAAACAATTATCGTTGTTTTTTTCACTACTTCAACTGACCTTTCTTACTTAGCATGAGCGCTCTTTAGAAATGTACATTTTTCTTTAATTACGGGTTCACTCTTAAGCAGCCTCATACTCATGGACACATATTCAATTTTTTTCTTGGAGCTTTTTTGAAAACAAAACAAAAAAAACCTCAAGAAAAAATGGAATATGTGGTCATGGGTATGACGCTGCTTAAGAGTGAACTTGTAATTAAAGAAAAATGTACATTTCTAAGTAGCGCTCATACGAAGTAAGCCCATGATGGTTTGAGTGTGTCTCCCGTAACCCTCACACAAATACACCATTTTCCAGAACGTGGTAACTGAATGTCGTGGAGCAGAGTGAATTCATTTGCTCACCCCTTACAAATTGTAAACTGCTTTATAATTGGGCTGAAATTCTTCAACAAAGTCTATTTTTATTCAACATTACTTGTGACTGGTTTCTAATAATGTCTTGCTGCAGTAGTTTGACAAACAAGCGTGCTTTTTACCTCTAGGTCATGCAGATGAAGTTGCACATTGTAGCTCTTATCGCCCAGAAAGGCAATTTCTCCAAAACCTCTGCCAATGTGGTCTTTGACGGCCTAGTAGACAAAGTGGGAGATGTGAAATGTGGCGGTAATGCCAAAGAAGCACTTAGTGCTATTGCAGAGGCCTGTACCCTGCCTTGGACTGCTGAGCAGGTAAGATGCCAATTTACCACCTTTTTGTTACATGTAGTGAATTGACCCACTTCAGTGTTTTGAAGGAGGGATTGTACCAAAGAGTGAGCACAAGAGCCGGCATTCCTTTAGGCTCTTTAAAGCAGCCCTGTTGCTGCTTAACAGAAAAACTTGTAATAGGAAAATCGCTTCCACCACCTGTCCTTGCTTTTAACTCTATTCAGGAGATACCGTCTCACAGCAAAATCTCTCCATTTGCCATGTCATGAGGTTCCAGCTGCTGGTCACTACAGGACATTGCACTGTAGACGCCAACCGATGTAAAAGAATCTAAAAGCACATTGGCTGTGAAGATTCTGCTGTAGAAGCAATATTTTTTTCAACAGAGCAAGGCTCAATCAGTCTTTTGTGTGGAGTTAGTGCTTTTGTTTTTTTTGTTTTTTTTTTTCTTTTTTTTTTTTTTCTTTCTATCCACTACAGGGTCAATTTTAATAATTGGGGTTTGCTGTAAAGCGCAACTGCTGCTGTTCTCTTGTAGGTTGTATCTTTGGCTTTCGCTCAGAAAAACCCCAAGAACCAATCTGAAACACTAAACTGGCTATCAAATGCAATTAAAGAATTTGGGTTTTCAGGGTAAGTATTTAATCTTCTCATTATTAAACTAAACCTCACTTTAAAGCCTCGCTAAGATCTGTAGTCACAAAAAAAAAAAAAATCAAATTCAATACCATTTGTTGTCACTTTGTACTTCTACAATTGTAGCATCTGTCTGCACATCCTGAAATCCTGATTATAAAAGCTGCTGTGCTTTAACTTCTGTTGAAACTGTATGTGGTTATGGAGTGGCCCTGTGATCACTCCTGAGATGAACTACAGTACTGTGTGCTGACTAAGCCGGCGGCGGTATGTAACGGCACAACATGGACTTGTGTATGGATTGCTGACGAGGTCAGCACTGGCGCGTAATAGCACCATTTGACAAAATCCTATAGGAAGTTCACTCTATTGGTGGAGCTCAAAGATAAAAACACCAAAAAAAAAGTAAAATCTTGTGTGCGAGTTATTTTAGTGTGTAAGATTTAGTGACCCTCTTATGAGGATAAAGCTGCCCATGTTTGATTGTTCCAAATGGCATTCCCATTATTTCTCTGCCATTTTCCACCAGTTAAGACCTGTTTTTCAAAATTACCTCTGTATTTTAATTTATATTTCCTATATCTGGCCAAACATGTCAAATGTTGTTGCATGCAATGTGGTAACCTGGTCTTCCAGGAGCCCTTTTTAATGTTGTAAATGAATTCTTCACACCAAAAAGGGCTCATAGTAACTGATGCCAATTTCTTTTCAGGCTTAATGTCAAGGCTTTTATCAGCAACGTAAAGACAGCCCTCGCTGCCACAAACCCAGTAAGTAAGCGGAGAAAGAGGGTAAATGTCTTGTGTTGGAGCTGTTTTCGCTAACTCTGATAACCATCCTTACAGGCTATTAGGACATCTGCCATTACCTTGCTGGGTGTGATGTATCTATACATGGGGGCACCACTACGAATGTTTTTTGAAGAGGAGAAGCCTGCTCTCTTATCCCAAATTGATGCAGAATTTGAGAAGGTATGTTGCCCAAGTGTTGTGTAACCACTTTAAACTGGACAGAGCAGAACCACAGTCTCTAGTAATAGTTGCACCTAAAATGTTAATGCTGGTCATCAGAAGCATGCTACTGGCACTGTAATATAGAATAGACTACCTTTTCCTGCCAGGTTCTGAGCTTGCAGGTTAACTACTTCCCACAGCAGAAGTGTTTTATAGAGTTTTTATGTTCAGATTTAAGACTTCTCATATTAACCACTTCCCGCCACATGTACATAAACAGCTGGACGGGAGCAGTGCAGGAGCGGGTTGCTATTCATGAACTGAACCCGTGTTTTCAGCCTGTACGCACTCCCTGGGAGCGCACGGCACCTTGATCCGGTGCCCCCGTGTCCTCCAGTTGATGTGCGGGACCTCTGTGTGAGGTCCCGATCATGTGATCACTGATTGGCCAATCAGTGATCACATGAATAGTAGCAAACAAGATGTTCCTTCTGACAACATTGTTTACTACTTGTGAAATCTGTGAATGATCACAGAGATCACATGGTACAAGGCTATTCACAACAGCCTTGTACCATGTGACAAGCTGTGACCAATCACAGCTCTCACAATAATTCTCAATGGCTGCAAGAATGCCACCAGAGAGAAGGAGAAATTATTGCTTTTACAGCCTTTATGGGTGTAAAAAAAAAAAAAAAAAAATCTTCATCTCCCCCACAAGTAGCACAGCGTCACTATGGTGACACTGTACTGCTATGGTGACAGTATGTTAAAAAAAATATATATATTTATATATTAAAATGTAAAAAAAAGTTTAGAAATTAAGATTTTTGGTTATAAACTAATTTGGGTTATCTTTTTTTACTGAAAAGATATCTGAATACATTTTGGCCAAGACTTATAAAGAAATTATTTATTTGCAAAATTTTATAAAACACTTTTTTCAAAATTTTTGGACGTTTTCATTTATATAGCAAAAAAAAAATCCCAGTGGTGAATAAATACCACCAAAATAAAGTTTTATCTGTCTCAAAAAAATGCTAAAAAATTCATATGGGTACAGTGTTGCATGACTACTCAATTGTCATTCAAAGTGTGACCGAACTGAAAGCTGAAAATTGGCCTGGACAGGAAGGGGGTAAAAGTATCCGGACTTGAAGTGGTTAAAAACATCTAGTGCTGTCATTGTTGCTAGGGGAACATAGCAGAACTTTAGGGATAAGCCATACCTTTGAGGACTCCTCTGTTGAGAAATATTGTTAGCCATTTTATTTATTGATAAACATGGAAAGAGATTATGCAGCAGAAGAATCTTATCTTATAGCTTTGCTTCATAACTCCTCCAATCAGCAGGCTGGGGTTGTGTTTTTGTTTTAGCTGTTAAATTGAAAGTCAATTATTTGTCAATTCTACTAGATGGGGAGTTTAAATCGCTGCACTTCCAGAACAGAATAAGAAGTTCTTGCAGGTACAGGTCTTTTGAATTTGTGTCTGATGTTGGTATGATGTTGAAATTGACAGATGAAAGGACAGACACCACCAGCTCAAACCCGAGGGTCTTCCAAGTCTGGTGCAGGGGGAGATGAGGGTGATGAAGCAGACGAGCAAGAAGAGGACTCCCATGCTGATGTCATGGATATGCTGCCCCGGGCAGACATAAGGTGAAATGAAGCACTTTCAACTATGCAGGTCTACTGTAGGTGATCTATAATATGTATGTCAAATTTTATTTTCTATACACCTACAAAGCAAAAAAAAAAAAAAAAACTTTGAAATGTGTCCTTCCTGCCATGTGTACAGTTAAGTTTAGAATTTGTTCATTGTCTAATGCAAAGGGTAAAACAAAAACATAACAGAACAGTATCAATATTGGTTTCTTGTATATTTTAGTTATGTTGGGTATTATAAAATGTACATTCTTGTAGGATCGCAAAATATAAAAGCAATGTTTTATTGTACCTTTTTATTATTATTTTTTTTTTTTATTTTCTTTAGTGACAAAATCACTTCAGATCTGGTATCGAAGATTGGTGATAAAAACTGGAAAATACGCAAGGAGGACTTGATGAAACAACGGCCATTATTAACGAGGCTAAGTTTATCCTTTCAAATATTGGAGAGCTTCCAATTGCACTAAAGGGCCGTCTCAATGACTCAAACAAGATCCTGGTATGCATTGTTAATTTTAGCATCTTTTAAAACTTCAACATTTCTTTTCGGTGCAAATCTTGAAGGATGTCTTGGTATAAGTTTCTTTTTGTCTGTCTTTTTATCTGACAGGTTCAGCAGACACTGAGTATCCTGCAACAGCTGGCCACTGCCATGGGTGCAAACATTAAACATCATGTTAAGAACTTGGGCATACCGATCGTAACTGTTCTTGGGGATAGCAAGGTGAATAACCTATGCTTAATTTTATAGAGCTGAGCAGCCTGATGACCTTCAATTGTCAACACTGTGGCGAGACCAGATTGATGGGATTCTTTCCTATTTTTTTTTATTTTTTATACCATTTTCTCTCAGCAGCTTCTTGTCTGCTCATGTGTTTTTCATGTAGCCTTTAATTGCTGCCAGTTTCAATGCTGCTGTACACAGGATTACAGAAGCTGCTGTTTTTTGAAACTGTTGGAATGGGGACTTGAAGGAGCTATTCTGCATAGCTTTGAACGCTTGATACTTTCATGAGGGTTATTGCCCTGATTTTTATATATATATATATATATATATATATATATATATATATATATATATATATATATATATATATATATATATATATATATATACTCTGTACTACATCTATTGTATGCTGTTACAAAAATTGTATTCCTGCTTTTTGAGTTAGATAATACTTTAAACCAGTGGCGAGGTGGATGGGTAAGAGTTTCTGGTATCAGCATAACTAACCTGCGTTAACATGGGGATCCTGCAATTTCAAGTGTCAATCTAATGAGCCAAGCCTAGCACAGGTCATGCTGCATACCTTCTAGGTGTAAAACTACCGTAATGTTTAACTCTGAAGGTTCTGGTGATGTCAGCAATCCTGTCTATAGCTCAAATTTGGTCACATGACTCTCATAGCAATTGGTTACATGGCCTATAAAGGTAGCTCAGCATTATTCTTGTATGAGTGGACAGGAAGTTTAGGCTGTTTTTAATACCACTGTGCTGATGGTTTTTAAAGCAAATTCTGTCTTGCATTTAGATTTGCATGAGATATAACTAATCTTTTTCTTCTTCCTTTATCAGGCAAATGTTCGAGCGGCAGCACTGGTGACTCTCAATTCTTGGGTGGAACAGACTGGTATGAAGGAATGGCTGGAAGGAGAGGACCTGTCTGAAGAGCTGAAAAAGGAGAATCCTTTCCTGAGGCAGGAGGTAGGATATTTATAAATGTGTTTTTATTTACAGGCTGAATGTTTTATAATGTTAAAGTGGCGCTCCACCCAAAATGGGAAGTTCTGCTGTAAGGTCTCATCCCCTGCTCCTCGTTAAATATTGACACCTTTTTTGGAGGACTGGGTACCCAATCTTGACAGGTACCTGCTCCCACTTCCTATTTGATCACCTAGACACCGAGGAGAGAGGATGGCCGGGGAAACCGGCTGTGGTGAGGACACCGCTGGATCAAGGGACAGGTGAGTTTTTTTTTTTTTTTGTTTTTTTTAAGAGTTAGCAGCTAGTTTTTTTTTTTTTTTTTTTTTTTGAAGTTGCTGACCTTTTAACATTTTGACTAATGCTCCACTTTAATAGTACATTAGTCTACTGTTCATTTTATTAAATGTGTTCTCGTGTTTTTTTTTGTTTTTTTTTTTGTAGTTGCTAGGGTGGCTGGCTGAGAAACTGCCTACGTTGCGAATGGTCCCTTCAGATCTTCAGTTGTGTGTTCCGTATCTGTATGGGTGCTTGGAGGACCGCAATGGGGATGTCCGAAAAAAAGCCCAAGAAGCCCTGCCTATGTTCATGATGCATATAGGATTTGAAAAGATGTCCAAAGCTACTGGAAAGCTCAAGGTATATTTTTATCACCTATGACCAGTGATCTTCTAGGGCACCTTTGCAGTAACTAATCGGTAACTTTTTTGTAATGTATAGTAAGAGGTGGATGCTGTACACTCTCATCCCTCTGTTTCAAGGCAAGCTTCCAAATGACTGAAAAATGGAATTCCTTCTTGGTCACTTCTTCTCATACATATCATTTGCCACTGGTAACCAGTCACAGCAAATGGATACAACCAGTGTTTTGCACACAAATTTGCCAGGATGATGAAGCCTTATTTACTAACTTGTGTTACAGTTGCCACATTTTGTACACTGCCACTGCTAAATTGAAAGGCAAGTTGAAACCTGAGCTTAAATCTACTCCCACCTCCTTTCTAAGCCTATTCTATCTACTCTGTAAAAGGAAAGATGCCTGTTCTTCCTATTCTGAAGTTGCTCTGGTCCAGTCACGTGATCGGGTCCCAGCACTGACTTCAGTGTAGAGGGACAGCCAACAACAGATTCCCCATAGTAAGACTATGGGTGACATCAGTGCCCAGGCACTACAGCCGTTGCTGGCGATTTCTCTCTTCCATGTGACCATAACAGTGCAGCTTTAGAAATTTTGGTTAGGTATACAGATCTTTCCTTTACAGGGTAGATAGAATTGGGATGGGAGCAGGTTTAAGCGTAGTTAGGTTTTAACTTGCCTTCTACTTTCAGATGAACAGCTTAATTATCTAGCTGTCCTTTTTCAACAAAGGTTGACTTGGGAGTTGACTTGGGCAAACAGTTGGTGTGTGTGTGTGTGTGTGTGTGTGTGTGTGTGTGTGTGTGTGTGTGTGTGTTGCCGTAAATGCTCTCTCGTTCATGACGGACTACAGGAGGACTGGATACTGGCAAAAAAAAAAAAAAAAACCTGTAGACTAGTCCAGGGTAATTTCACGTATTACCAGCATGCCTCAGGTTGTTTTTATTTTTTTTTTTATTTTTTTTCCCCCCCCCCCCCCCAAGGAGCAGAGGATGTTTTTTTAGAAACTCAACTTATTTTTTAGCATCTTTTGGAGAAAAAAAAAAAACACTCAACTCTTTTAAATCACTGCTGGAGCTTTGTCTTTTGATTGCAGCTCTCTGGAGGAGCTGCCTTTTTGTAGTACCTTGTCCAAGTGGATGGATTTAGCAATGATTGCCTGGAAATAACTCTCAGGCACTCCATGTAGGGAGCTTTTCTCACTGTGGAGCACTTTCAGTTCTGGAGCTGCTGACAATATCTCAGTGCTTGTTGATTGGCAGGTAAGCCTGACAGGCCAAACTCTCAGACCTACATAATTTACCATTAATCTCTGGGTGCCATTACTCCCTGTTCCTGCCGGCTTTGCTACAGGCGGGGTTGAAACAGTAGGATTAAGTGCTGCGGTCATCCGCTGGGTGAGGGTGATGTACTCCGCTTTTCCCAAAAGCAATGAGAGAATACCCCCCCCCCCCCCCTCTTACAGGGAGCTAGGTGGAACTTCGATCTGTTCTGCTGCACACCAGCAGGCCACATGTGGCCATCCGGCACTCTACCAGCTGTTTGAGTTTTGGGTGGATACCCCTT